ATAGCAATATTCCTTGTTTAGAAAACAAGGCTATCCAAACACTATAATTACAATATGCACCAGCAGGCATAACCCTGCATTAATGCACAGACTCCAGATACATTCGTCAAATAGAGTTTTTTTTCTCTTTGCCTTCTTCTCAGGGTACTTTTAAGTTCAGGGACAGAGAACATGTCTTCATTAGAAACATTAACATTCACAGGCTGTAGTAAATTTTGACAGTGAAAAGGTCTCTGTAACCTTTAGTTGTGCAGAAATTTACTTCCCAAGAAAATTACAGCTGGCACTGTCTTAATTAATGCTAGCTTTCTTTTCTGAAAATTGTGGGCTTGTCAGTAAAAAAGGCAGAAAAACCTGAGTTTAAAAGACTGGACACAAAAGACGCCTAGAAATAAAGCCCTGCAAAATTTCATAATATTGCTCTGTTTTTGTTCTACAGTAAGGAGATGAAAAGATCTAATTTGATTTTGCCAAATGGAGCAACATATATGTAATATAGAAATGATTTGCATTTTCTCTTTTGTCTTTGAGTTTTATCATGTAAAGAGCGCTTTTTAAGCCATTCTGTTTTAAAAGCAATGGGTCAAATAAAATCTATATCTGCAGGGGGAGGGGAATAAGGTATGACTTCATTTTTTTTTTAGCATTGCTTTAAATGCTCCTACTAAATCACAGCTAATGGTAAGAATTGCAGCTGTGTTTTTCATATGATTTTTAATCACCTGACATATTTTTTTCCAGATTTTTAGAATTATTTTAGCATTACTGTACAAATTTTCTTCTTAATATTTACCTTCCACATGTCTCAGAGTTCTATTTCGATGGTATAGATAATTTTTCTTTGGCACATAAAGATTATTTATTTGCTGCCTGAATTTTGATCATGCAGCATGGTTTTTAATTGCTTGACAAGGTGTTAAATATATACTCTATCTTGGAACAGCATTTTCTTACACACAGGTTGTATTATTGCTAAAAGCAAATAGATTTTTTTATCCCCCTTCCTTTTTTACTTAAATACAGAATGAGCGATAACATGCTCCTACATTATTTGACACCAAAATCTCCTGGATATTGCTTATGCACATCCTTGCATTCACTTTCAGGAGAGATTTACAACATTTTATGTTTGGAATTGCTGTGCAGTTCCCAGCTCTATCACTGGAAGCAATAAAGCTCCAGTTCCACATAAGACTCTTGCATAGTAGGACATGACACCACTTTGGCACTACGTGAAGTTCCAATACTGCATGTCAGCTGTTCAAAACATTTTATGCAAGTTCCTACAAGCACTTTAAATTAAGGTGCCCTGTATAAATGGTTTATTCATGTTTATGAAATGATTAGTTGGTGCCACTACATCCTTTAATAACTTATTGTAAGGCATGTTATAAAATGCATCATCAATAAATGCTTAAAATGCTGCCACAGCAAGGTGATAAGCTGTTACAACAATATTTTAAGATGTAAGTATTGTTCAAATAGTTTGTCCGCTCTTTCAATGCATACTCCCAAGTTTTTTTTACAAGCACGTTATTGAATGCTGTATAAATAATAAAATATTTATACAGATCACCTTAATTTAAAGTGTTACTGTGCTTCCATAACTTCAGTGTAGATGCCACACAATCTGAACAAGCTGAAAGGTAAGAAAGATATCAGAAGAGAAGCATCTCTGTCTTAGATGCAAATCTCTCTGTTATCACCCTGACACAGAAAAAAAATCACAACATTCCCCAGACACAAGATTTGTATTTTCAAGGTTTGAACCATTAACCATTTAAGGAATTGTCATGAATAAGGGGGAAAAGAAACACCCAAAACCAGACACCTAAAGCCTGAAGTTCTGAAAAATTGTCACACACGAAATGTTATGGCTGTTTTTTGGCCCTTGGCAATGCTACTGAAATTATAAAATCCCAGTGTGGCTTATGGAGCCCATATGGACAAATGGAGGATAAAGGCCTCCCTCTGACACTTTCCATACTGGAAAACAAACAGTTTCCATACTGGAAAAAACAAACATAACATCATGGACAGATGTAATAAAAGGAGTAATAAAAGTAATAAAGCAGACACTGATCAGGGCATTCACTTATGCATTTATCAGCTTCTCAGATTAACCACAATGAGCTGAAGATATAAACAATACTCCAAAAGGGAATGTAACCTCTGGAAGAGAAAGCCCAAAACAACTAGTGTACTAGCAACTGCAAGAGCACAACAAGGGGGTCTAAGGATATACCTGCATAAGAGATATAGTCAAATTTTCCTTGCTCATTCTCACATTCATTGAACTACTTAGAGAAGGGAAGAGACTCAAGGAACGCACTTCTAGATATTGGCTCAAAACATTGGGATATGACTGGTCTGCCCTTTCTCCTGTCTCAGATGCCCATGGAGAATATGCAAGCCCAAATTTCTCTCCTACAATCATAACCACAGGGTTTTGGTAGGGATTGTAGGTTAACCCTGCCTGGCTGAGTCATGCCCCTCCCAGAACATGCCCAGTTTTGGGCTGCATGGATAACTTCAAGGACAAGTTTAGCTCACAAAGGAGTCATACTAAAAGGCTCAGTACTGATGTTTTCTTTCTTCCCACAACAATTATTCCTCTTTGGACAGGACTGATCGTAAACTTACTAAACCACTGAATATTCATCTTTTAACACATTGGAGTACAGAGAGGAACTCTTAGTAATTAGCATTCCCAAACTTGTATTCTGCAAATTTATTTCCTCAAATATTTTTTTTTTACATGATTTATTAAAAAATAAAGCCAAACACTCGGTTCTTAGATCCTGACCCTCTAACCACTCACATATGCAGTGTGCATGCAAAATCCCATCTCTTGCATGGATTCTTTGAGAAACTAGTAGTCTCAAATTGTGATTCATATAATATTAGTGTTTCTAGGTTTTTTAGTGCTGACAGGATGATTTTTCAGAGTTTCTTTTTTGTCAGTTTCCAAGTGCCACAGAGACATCTCTTCTATTTTTTTCTTTTATAAGTTATTACCATGATAAATTTTTCAGATATTTTCCAAAATTCTTATGCAAATGGATATCGTTCCATTTCTAATAAATGCATAAAATTAATTATATAGACATATATATATTGAATATTTGTATATGGATTGAGGTATAAAATTACTCATACATTCGCTTAGGCTTTGTTCCCTTATTATTTTTATTGAATGACTATTTTAAAATTTAGTGACCTATCAAGTCCTAGTAAGTTGCTCCTACAGACCATTTCTGCTTCACACAGGTGTGACTTCACACATTTCTGCAGCCTGGCTGTGTGGACTCTTCTGTTTTACTCATCTGTGGGCAGGGCACAGCGAGCAGTGGGTTGGCTTGGTGGGCAGGATCACAGAGCAGTTAAGAGGATCCAAGGCTGGGCTGTAACTTTTAAGGATGTTGTGGAGAGAAAGCTCAGATTCAGAGAGGTTTGAGGAATTAATCACTGACATCCAGCAGCTGAATGTACAGCAACACCCCTCTGGTATTTGTCCCTTGAAATAAGGAAACCAACCCCCATCTTTAACCTCACCTTTATGCCACTGTGTGATCAGAAGCTCACTTTCCCTGAAGTAAGAATTTATTTAGTAGTTTGTGCTGATCTTCTGCTAGAAGCTCAACACCGAGGTCTGACAGCTGTAAAGTGTTTTTACTACCAGTACCCTCTGGCAGATGTTTTTAGCCATTTTCTTGCTATTCTGATGCAAACTTAGAGGGTTTTTAGTTTGTCCAGTGGAGTTCATAGGAATAAATTTAACTGGGTGCCTGTTAAATGTCTTTCTTTCCCTCTGACTTACTCAAAAAACTAATACCAAAATAAATATAGGATATTTACTTATTCTTTTGTTTATAGCGTGTTTCTACGTATTACAAAGAATGGAATCTTTGTGTGTTACATATTGACCTGTTAAATCATTATATATCCACCTGGAAAAAACCTGTGAGTGGACTTGCAGACACTGTCATCTAGAAACATCCATCACTAATGCTTCATTTTATTCTTTTGTGCGTGAGAGCCTCGAAAATACTTATCTCTGCCTTTCAAGGAAATCATAAATTTCTGGTGTGCATGCGCACTCCACGATGTCTCCTTGTTAAGCAGAGAGGGCCCTGGGGGCATAACAGCATAGTGTGGTATTTTTGCCTAACTATTGTTAACATGTGACACTTGTATTTGCCCCAAGATAATGTACAAATATGTTTTAGAGGTTTTCCTAGTGATAACCATGATGTTTCATCTTGCCCTTCTAATAATAAATTTAGCCTCCTAGCCTACCCCCCATGCACAGCTCTCCCTCCCCCCTGTTCTTGGCGAGTCTGACATTCAGTTTGGAGACTAATGTCAGCAAGAAATCCATATGTACTCCTGATAGTGCTAGGTGTGCCCCTTTGAATTTATTTTTAGGTTTCAGTAGAATTAAGTGGTATTTTTTTTCCTTCAATCATCTTCTTCATAACATTTCCTACCTTTCTGATGTTTACAGAGGAGAAATTTATGCTTCACCTTACTGAAAATATTTTTGTCTTCAAATTGAACATATACCGGTATGTACAATGACATAGGTAAGATTTGCTGTACAGCTCTACAAAGGAGAATTTTTTGCAACAGAGTCAAAAAGAAGTTACATTTTGAGCATGGCAAAACTCAGACCACAGAGAGATACTGTGAGCATATTTCTATTTTCCAGGACATTCAGTTCTTGGCCAATTTCTAAATAATTATTTAATGCCTTCACAGGCAGTTTGTTATTTTGGTGGTCATCTCTGAGACTCAGATAACCTAACTAAAAATACTTCCACTTAGAGAGACCCATGTTAGACAGAGTTTCAGCACAGATCTCTTACCATTCTGAGCTAGTACCAGTCTAAGACGGAAGCAAAACATGCTTGGCCTGTGTGGCCACCATTTTGGTACCTTCAAACAAACATTTAAACACCAATTGTTCACCACAGCCCTGAAAGTCAACACAAGCCTACCTCTGTTATGAAAATCTCGACACAAAATTCCAAGAATGACCAGGCTCATGTGTGCTGTCAGTGGCTTCCAAATAAAATCCATATGCACTGTTGCCTGCTGATGTAAAAGTCTGACCTTTATATTCTGCTCTGGAGACAGGAGTGCCAATCCTGAGAGCTGCTGGCCAACACTTCCAAAAGCACTAAGAGTTTAAATAAAGAAACGATACAATTTCAAATGTACTTGGGGATAGAACTTGATCTTCTTACTGCATCCCAATTATAGCAAACGCAGAATTAATTAGGAACGTGGGTCTGTGCTCTATCTTCCTTCCCAGAACGTGCTGGGATCACAGAGATCACAAAATCTCCATCCAGTTTACAGTGCTATGCAGATTGTGGAAAGGTTGTTTTGCATGATGGACAAGAAGACTACAAAAAGCAGTAATCTCTGCTGTAGTGGTCTTTTCCATACTGCCTGCCTGCAGCCTGTCCTACTGGTTGCAAAGGTCTCTTTGAAACAACATTTCTGCTTTCCCAACTGCAAACATGCAAAATTATCTTCTGAAGGAGATGCAGAGAGTCCGAATCTGAACGACTCAGGACATTTCTATTAAACCTTCCTGTGCATTCACTGTCCATAGCAGGGAAAAGGTTGTGGGTGGCAACTTCCTTTAGGTTCATCTCCAATTTGCTCCACTCACCTTCTGGGTAAGATCCCTGTGGGCTTCTGTGGTTCCTTTTTTCCATCCTCTCCCCTGAATCTGTTCCCATGGCTCCCAATCTCCTTCCCCACCTCCAACAGAGAGGAGTTTGTAGGCCTTAACAAGAAGGAATACACTGACAATTATTATGTTCTGCACTAGAAGCAAGAGCTTTAAAACATATTTTTTTCACACACGTATTATTTTTAAAGCACAACATGATTTTTAGACACTCTCATTATTTGTTTATTTTTAGCACATATCAAACCACAGCAGTTCTCCCTCCAGGCTGTATTTGACAAAGTTACAGAGACTTTCCAGGCCACCTCAAAGCAGAGATTAATCCAAACAATTTAAACCTCTCACTGTTCCACAGGAGGATGGCATTCGATTGGATTATTTAGGGAGGACAAAATGTTTTTGTTGATGAGAGAGATGAAATCCTCAGAGAGGGAAATCAATCTTATGTAGAGACCCTGGAGCATTGATCTCGGTGTACATTGACAATTTCTGGTTGTTTAGCTATTTGGAATGACCGCACAAAATGAGCAAGTTGTTATAGTTTTAAGGTTTTGGTATTTATTGGCAACCCCAGTGCTCATATGATTAATCACACATTCAGAGTGTGAGCTCAGTAGAAATTGACTGCAACGCAGCAGAAACAAAGTTTTCAGTTATCATTGTGTAATAAATTGAAGCTACATCCCTAAGCTGATTTGTCTTCACGTTTCCAATTTGCCTTGTTAAAAGTGTTGTTTATACAGTAGTTAGCAAAAATGCAAGTAATTACACACAGAATTCATTCTAAGCGATTCTGCATATTTTTTTTCCTCTTTATTGGTTTTCTATCTTCATTATCCAATATTTTGTTATACCTAAGCAGAAACCCCATTCAAGAAAAATCAAAAGTCAGGCCATGGAATGAACACTTCCTCATATTGTGGACAGCATTTCTTGGATATAATGTTGCAAGACAAGGCCTTCTAAACAAACTAATCCCAACACAAGCATCCTTTAATAAACCACTTTTCCCTTTGAACTTGGGCTCTCTGGCAGTTTCCAACGAGAAGCAGAACAGAAGGACAAATATTTTTGTTTATATGTTACATTTCATTTCATGAAATATTATTTATTCAGAAAGAAACATTCAAACACAAAGCTAGGGTTTTAGGTACACATTTCACACTCTAAGAATATCTGTTTCTTTTATCAAAAAAGAGGTGCAAAAATAAGACAATAAATATAATCTGAAATTGGAAAGAAATGTGAGGAATACAAACACTGAGAGAATATATTTAAAATGGGGAGTGCCAGGTAGGGAGAAGTACAGAGTCTATGAAGGAAGGAGGTGCTCTAGCTTTGGTGTTGTGGTAGAGACCTGTGCTGGAAAAGACTGATAATGCTTTATAGCCTTTCCCTGGGATCTCACTGTAACCTCGAAGCAAGCAGTTGCTAGGATGTACTTGCTAAAGATAAGAGCAAAATTGTGGAACAGAAAGGGGAAACCCTGTAAGGCTGGCCTTGTGCTTCCCTAGAGAGGCTTACATACTCATAATGTACAGAAACTATAACCAGATCAGGAGAGACCTAATTACAGAGCTCAGAGATGTTAATGACACACAGAAATTTACATGCAGCTGAAAATATGAATATCTCTAAGCCAGCACTTGCATCTCCACAGGGCTCTGTTTTATAATCGGAGACCTTTTCTTTCTGCAAGGTGGAGCCTTTCAAATAGCCAAAACCATCTATTTTTTAAGTGAACAACACTAACCATAAACCTCTGTAAAATTGTATTGACCAAGATCTTTTTTTTTTTTATTATTATTTGCAATTCCTTCTCTTATGCTCTGTCTGAATAGGGCTTGCAACAATAATTCCTCACATTTATCTTTCCATCTTTCAATCTCAAAATCCTATATCTGATTTGGGCACAGCAATCTCCAAAGCAATGAATACCCTTTTAATTTACAGAGACCTTTAAAGGACAAAATTACTAAATGATTTTTCTTAGAGTCCTTATTAGGTACAAGGGGATTTTTTTTTTATGTTTATATTTATTTATTTTACCAATCTGTGTAACACTGTGGTTGTGTAGTTGACTGACTTCTATGTTCCTTGTTTCTCTTTAGCTTCAGGGAAACATCCCCTATATCTTTACCTGTAGTGGAGATAAGGAGTTGTCACAGCTGCTGTCCATGCAGTCCTCAAACCAGAGAGCACTGTAATAAATCCTATTTTATTTTATGGACAAATAAATGCTGAGGTAAAATATTCGAGGATCGTTGCTTGAATACTTGCCATAGCAGTGCTACTGTAATAACCACTATGACATTAATTTACTGCAATGTGCCGTAGGAAGAAGGAAGAAGGAGGGAGAAGGGCATTAAAAGAGAAAAATTACTATCCTTCGGATTTATTGGGATTGGCCTTCCTCATTTTCAGCCATCATTAGTTGATTAGGTGCTGATGACAGTATGGACAAGCGTGCTAGAATAGTTGGCTAAGAAAAGCCCTAAAGGTACTCTGTTAATTGAGATGATGTTCATATTGTACTTACTGAACATAACTGCAGACAGTGAAATAAGAGCTTAGTGTTGTGTAACAGACCACATGAACATTCACTCATTATCAGTCTGTAAAGGGGTGAAAACACTGCATATAGGCTACTGGTACTACAGAAGAAAAAAAGAGATAATATTAAAATCTGAAGACTGTTGTGAGAAACTGTATTTTATAAAGCCTTCTGGGAGGTGTTGAGAAACATGTCTAATGTTGTTCCATAGTTCCATTAGGGACACATTATGGTATCAAAGGAACAGACAATTTATCTATGCCTTCATCGTGTAAGAGCTTTGCACCTGAACATTACAGAACAGCCAGATTTGCTTACCTACTATAAACTTAAATGTTACTGGTACTCTTTTGGTTACTGTATTCCACACACTTAAAATTTTAAAGTAATATGGAGAAAATGGCAAAGAAATGCCACTCTATACCTCTTTTAACCTTGTTTGTAAAAAGTTAGCATTATACATGAAGAGAGAAGTATGCCAACCTCTGCACAGAGCCTGCAATGCAAGAGATACATGGAATCAACAATAGCATTTTGGTAACAATGGTAATGCTATTACCAATGATTCCATAATGTTAAATAATTCAATATGGACAGTAGCCTTCCTCTTGCTGTTGCCAGGATGAATTTCAAATTTGGTGCCTAGACACTCACATTAAAAAAAAACCTCTAAAAGCTTCAGAATGAAACAGACAGCAATTTAAAGGTTCCTTTGAATTTTAGGCAAATCCACAACTTTTTTCAAACAGTCCTATGAATGTATTCTCCACAGATCAAAATTATCCTTGTACTTGAAGCACTGTGCTCTCAATGTTAAAACTTAAAGCAGCTCTTTCAGAAAAGTGAGAAAATTAAATCTGTCCATTAGTGTGTCTATACTGAACACATTGAATTACAGGTAACAAGTTCTCAGCAACGTCAGAAAGAGTTCACAAAGAACTACGAAAACTCAGAAAACTTTGCTTAGTCACAAAGACTAAGACATTATTCCAACTCAGGAAACTTTAGTATCAGCTCTGATAAAAATAAATAATAGTATTTACTAACCTACTATGGTAAGTCACTGGGTCTAGTTGGTAAACACTGAGCCCATGAGATGGTGAATAGCAGGACAGTTCTTCCTGACCCAAACAGGAACTTGCTTTCTTTGGTCATTCATGAATCAGAAATTTTATCTCTCAACATTTGTGAACGCTCTTTACACCAGAAACACGCAGGAGCCTGGGTCAAAAAACAGCACAGAAGTTTAGATTGTGCCTATTAGGAACAATGTACTGTGGATCAGAGAGTGAAAAAAAAAACCCACATTTTTTTGACTTAGCAAGTGCTTCAAGTGCATTACTACACAGTCAAATCAGAAATTGCACATGCAGCTGGCCATCCATGCTCACAGATATTGCTGGCATCACTAATCTCTAGCCCAATTTTGTCAAGGGATGTTTTTAGCATTCAAGGGTTTCTTCTGCCACCAAATTCTTCTTACAATAAATATGGTTCTATCTTTAATATCCAGTGAGATAATAAATGACGTTACCTTTCTTCAGGCATCTGTTGTGACTTTGGCATTCAGCTCAGTGGAGGGGTAGTAGCAATTGATCACAGTATTGGATATCTAGACACAATGTGGCAACATCTTCAGTAAAAGGCTTTGAAACTCTTGGAAAAAGCCTGAGGTAGGCACAAGAAAAATGGAGAATATTTGAAGAGTCAAGATAAGGAATCAAGACATCCAAAAGCAACAAGAGATTCAGGATCAGAGACGTGCAACAGTCTAAAAAATGTTAGTGCAAAAACATTCCCTTTAAAATACTCATCCCAGAAAAAGCTCTAACAGGATCAGGCTTTCATAGTTCATGTTGTCTGTCTGTTTCTAAAATCATTGTGATTGTGG